TTGACCATTCTGTTCCTTATTCCTTATTCCAGTGTAGAGTTCTCCTTCTTCGCTTTTTCGCCGCAGGATATTTGAGCAGTTCAGCTCTTAACGCTATTTTTCTTCCAATTGAGAGTAATAGCCGGTAGTAACATCATTTGTTGGAATCTTTCCTCTATAAAAAATTGCTTGGTCATATTAAAACATATTTTGTCATCATTATTTTTGTTATTGTTATTGTCATTATTATTATCATTATGATTATTATCACTGTCATTATCTTCATTATCATTATCCTTATCATAATCATTATCATTATCATTATCATTATCATAATCATTATCATTATTTTTATCATTATTATTATTATTACTGTCACTATTAGCAGTAGTAGTAGTATCATTATCATTATCATCGTTATTATCATCATTATTTCATTAAAGTTACACGATTTTCATGGAATAAAGGAGTATTATGATGATTATGATTGTGTTATGATTATTCCGCAAGGTCTCTGATTTCGCATGGCCATTTTTAATCCATTGTGAAGCCTTTTGCATGTTAGTGATAGGCCAGAATAATAATAATAACATTGATGGTGGTGATGATGACAGTGATGATGATGATGATGATATGATTATAATGGTGGTGATGATGGTGATGATGATGCTGATGATTATGATGATGATGATATGATTATAATGGTGGTGATGATGGTGATGATGATGAGACTGATTATGATGGTAATGATGATGATGATATTCATTTTGATTATGATGGTAATGATGGATGATGATGATATGATTATGATGGTGGTGATGATGGTGGTGATGATGATGATAATGATTATGATAATGATAATATTAATGATAATGATAATGAGGAGGAGGAGGATAATGCGGATATTAATGATGATACTGATGTTTCACTGAACTTAATAATCTGTCCTTTTCTGCCGTGCTGACGTATATTAACATACGTAATCTTTGCCAGTACGTTCTTCGGCAACAGCATATATGTCCTTGAGTAAAACACTCGTGGTAATACTCTTTTCGTAATTCATCAGCTTTTAGTCTCTTCATACATAGCTCCTGGCGCAATATAGTAACAAGGTAAGCAAGTTACTTTCAAAGTCGAGCTCTACAGAAACCATCTTAATACCACTGTATTATATCTGCCAAGTACGACTGCAAAATCTTCTTGGTTCTCATCTTTACTTTCCTTAGCGGCGTTCTAACTTTCCATCATCCATTTCGCG